AAGAGTTCAAGATTTCGAGGTGAATCGAGGGCAGCACATGAGAAAAAAAAAAAAAAAAGCTAACGTGCAGGGACTTGAACAACCTTTTATTAGCACAGGGATGCAATTAAATATCTTGTAAACTTAAAGGGACTAATAGGGGTAGAACCCCCCCGCCCCCTGTTTATACAGCCTATAAACCCAAAACCCTACCCCGAAGAGACGAGAAACTGCAACCAACTGTACTGACAACCGAAAATTCATAGTGAGAAGAAGCAAAGAAGACAGACAGACAGATTGAATGAAGAATATAACTCTGCTTTTGATGGGCTGTGGAGGCGTTGGTCGCCAACTCCTCCAACACATTGTCTCCTGTCGATCCCTTCATGTTCAACAAGTTCCCTTTATAATCACTCTCTTCCATTTTTAGCTCAATACCATTAAAATGGGCTTCTGTGTAACAGTGGGAATGTGCATTCGAAATCGATTTTGTACGTTTTCATTTGAGAAAGTTGAAACCTTTGTGTTTTGGGCTGGCATTGGCAGGGAGTTTACTTGAGAGTAATTGGAGTTTGTGACAGTAAATCGTTAGTTGCTGCGCCTGATGTTATTACAAGAGAGTTAAATGATCAAGCTTTTTCCGAAGTTTGCTGGGTTAAGTCGAGTGGTTTATCACTTTCAACTCTAAGTGATCTGGGTTGGTGCCACTCTAATGCATCTTTGGATTGATGGTGGCGAGGGTGGACTGTAGACTGGAGATCTGAGAAATCTCAAAGCATTCTCAAGCCGCCTTATTGAATGTAGTTGATGCATGCCTTTTCTTAGTGAGATTGAGGAAATGTATGCGAAAGACAATGTCAGAGATTGATCGATCAAAGTAGAAACCCTAGTTCGAAGCTTCACTTCCATGCATGCTTTGGTCGATGAGTGGCCGTAGGTAGCATGGAGTTACTTATGGCTTTTTTTTAAATGCCCAAGTGATCATGGCCTTTCTTGGAACGGGGATTAGTGCTAGATAAAGAAAGTCCAGACTGGAGTTTCTTTACCGTAGAAAGGTGCCTAGACTTCAGTCATACTGCATGGGGAATCCAGAGGGGAGACCCAGGTATTGAAAAGGCTCATTTTTTATTCCTCAGGGCAAAGAACATTTATAGACGGTCTTTATTCCTGACTTGCCAGTTAAAAAACAATATGCCCGCGGACAGCAGAGAACTTGTTACTCTCTACACTCTGAGCCAGTAAACATGGACTTGCATATATCTCCGACTCATTTCTCACCTACAGTTCTGGGTCCTTTCTAGCTAGCCTGCAGAATCGAACTGACTTGAAGCTATTCTTGAGAGGTTGGTGCTCGCCTTCCTGTCATAGCGTCCTCAAATCATAGACTTTGATCAGGAAACCCTGTCCATCGTAAAATTGGGAGTTTGAGATGTACCTATTTAACAAGGCTTTGATCCAATGCTTAACCTTTCAGGTTATGCATCTGTTAGATCATGCGTTAGATCATGATTGTGTTTGCACATGCTTATTGGTTCTTTAATGTGCTTCATGTTAACTCTTGTAACAGGTACGTTGGGAAATGTTACGAGTGAGGTTGAGGATGGAAAGCCATTGAGTGAAGTTGTTAAAGCTGCTAAAAATCTGTAATTTGAATGGCTTAAGTCCGTATACAGAATAAGGGTTTTTACCTGCCATATTTTGCGTCGGCGGCATTTTCTTTATAGGTGGTGGCAAATAAATGCCCTCAAATTAATCACTTCTTATCTTGTGTAAGATTATATTTTAATTTGTAAGCATGTTCTGAAATGAATGAACCAAAAAGTATATCATGAAGGATTATTAATTTGGTGGTCTTTTTCATCATCATCAAAAAAAAAAAAATTAGTCTTTTCATAGCATCGACAAAATCCAACAGCGTCTGAGTAGAAAGAGCTGGATCAAAAGCTGGCGACTTCAGTTTGATCAAAATAGCAGCCAGTAGGTCCTCCATCAGGTAAAAGGGCACACTTGACAGGACCTCGAGCTCCCTCTTCTACTGGCATTGGTCCTGTGTGCCAGTTTATATCTGTATTGACATAGCCAGGATGAACGCAATTGATGAGCATGCTAGGATGCCTTTTGGCAAGGACTCTATTGTAGGCATTAAGGGTGGCCTTCGAGATGCTATAAGCTGGCAGCATCAATGACCAGCCACCAGCTTCAAGTGTATTCTCTTTCAAATCTTTCAAGAATCTCTTCAATATTGAATCCAGTTTCTCTTCATTCAGTGTCTCCAAATCCCCAAGCTCGTTTCTTAGATCATCTCCTCGAATTCTCTGCAAGTAATGATTGCCTTAATTGAGACAGGTGCACATAATGCATTGTTTACAGTGAAACATTAAGCAAAATGTTGAAGTTGTTCAAATTCTATCTTCTATGAAGTGCAGAGATGGCTTCTTTCACCACTTTTGGTTTGGGAGCAGTTTGCAGGGGTCGGATTCAATATATATGGATGGTCGTTATACTCGGAATATACATGCCACTAATGTGAGGCATATAAACATCAAATGTTTTTGCAAGGTAACTATTGTGCAAGTACATGGTCTTTAGAGAGACAACGAGGCCAAGTTTTAGCTTATTGGTTAGCAGCAATGCAAACAGGTTTATGCATACATGACTCCACAATGAACATTTCAATAACAATATCCATGTGCGAAAGTGTGATGCTGTCTGTTAATTCTCCATCAAAGAAGAAAAGAAAAAATGATGAACGTGGGCTGCACTTACCCATAGCTCACCCCTGAGAGATGATACATTAACTATCCTGGCCCCTGAAGGGGAAAGCTGCAGAAGCGGGAGGAGAGCTTCTGTTAATCTTTGGACACCGTAGAAATTAGTGTTTAAGCATTCTACTGCTGTCTCATAAGATGTCTTAATCACTTGTTGAACCATGTTGGTTGCCTTGCCTGAAAGCTGCACGGAGAAACAGTTGTTTTAAGGTTGTGTTTTGCTGGTTGGGATTCACTGGCAAAGCTTTCATGTTTTAGAATAAGGTTAGCTCACCCAAGTTTCAGGATCTATATTCATGGCCCTCAAGCGCTCCTCGTCAACTACTACTCCAGAAGCTCCAGCATTGTTAACCTGGACAAAATAAATGCATCACAAAATAAGGGAAAAACAAGAAAAGAACCCTCAAAATTCCAAACCAGGAAAAATTATACATTTGCTCTCCATAACTCTTCAATAAAACTTTGTTTTTACTCTAAATCACTTATGATTAACATTGAACTAAACACCATTTGATGACTCCTATCGAGCCAGCAAGAACAGAACATCTAGACATATTTTTTAAAGGAATTAAGCTTAAACTTTACCAACTAGGCTGTATTAGATGCAAAATTGCTATCATAAATCAGTAACTGGCAGTTTAATTTATAAGATTTTGGTTGAGAAAATTTGTTAAATACATTAATGACAACCCAAATTGCTCTTGAAAATCTAACTTCTTTCATTCACTTGTTCATCTATCATGGGAGTTAATCTGCCACAAGCATTTCTGGAATTAGAATTGTTGTTACAGGTCCTTAATTCTAAGGAGGGGATGGTTGGAGAAGAAGCAATTTGAGCAGGAAGAAGTCAGAAAAAAAGGGGACTACGCATTTGAATTAAAAACGCACGTTTTATTTAGTTGAATTCCAGAAGAATTAAAATACAGCCACGTGTAGCTGGTTGTTAACTTTTTATATATATATATATGTGTGTGTGTGTGTGTGTGTGTGTGTGTGTAACAACCTCGAAAGAGAAGGATTTATGCAGAAAATGAAATAACAGAATAGGTCTCTCTCCCTCCCTCTCTCTCTCCCTCTCTCTCTCGTCTTCTTCTTCTTCTATGGATGCTAAACCATACCATCCATTGCTGGACTTAACAGTGAGCTCCCAAAGCTCACCAAAATACTTGGAAGAAATATCAGTAGGACAAATCCAAATTCAGCATGCAACAAGTGGTATCAGAGCCTCGGATCTTCAGACTCAAGGTACGGCACTTGATACAAGATCCCAAGATCTTAGAAGGTTGGAAGACTCACTGGATGCTGCTAACAAGAAACAAACATAGGAACATGAGCAAGTGATGAAGCTACTGGAGGTACATGGACAGAAACTGGAAAGTATGTAAGCTAGTCATGAAGCTAGATTTGGGGAATTGAAGGACCTCATTAGTGTATTCTCATTTCAACAAGGCTTGATTCTGCAAAGGTTACAGCTAACTAAATGAGGACCCTACTCCAAAAACATGCTGGACACGTGAAGGAAGGAGATCACCATTCCTATAAGGGAAGTGAGTGAGTATCGGCACAATGAAGATGTCAGGGTTAATCCTAGGGATTGCTATTTCTGGTTGAATGGCAATTGCTTGAATCCCAAATGTGGGCTTCGTCATCCAACCCTTGATGGCCTGTTTGGCACCCAAACAACAACCTCTGTTGAACATTCCTTGCCACCATCACATACTGTTACTGCAGCTGCCACGCATATTCCTCACAACTCAGGCAAATAAGGAGCCCATGTGACTTCTTTATCTGTTGGTGCTACAAGTCATTCTCCTCAATATGACCATGATTCGACTACCATGGGGGGCGTTTAGTGCATCACTACATGGAATTGTTGTGTCTTGCTCTGCTGGGAACTCAGGACCAGATCCATATATTGCTGCCAATATTGCTCCAGGGATTCTTACTGTAGGTGCTTCAACAATTGATAGAGAGTTTCCAGCCAACGTAGGCTTGGGCAATGGATGGATTTTTGGCGGGGTTTCGCTATACTTTGGTGATTCACATGTTGATTCCAGGCTTCCTTTGGTGTATGATGATGATGTTGGGAATAAGCATTGCTGTATGGGGAGTATAAGTCCATCAAAAATCCGGGGGAAGATTGTGGTATACAATTGCAGAGGGAATGCAGAAGTGGGGAGAGGAGCGGCAGTGAAACTTGCTGGCGGGCATGGAATGATATTGGAAAACACAGTAGATAGTAGGGAGGAGCGGGTTGCTGATTCTCATCTTCTGCCTGCTACTGAGGTTGGCTCTAGACAGATTGGGGCTTTTCCATCTCTATCGGGTCACTTCTTTACTTATTCTGATAGGCAACTGGACTATTGGTGTGGTTATTGGCTTATCGCATCTCAAGGCCTTACTTTAGGGCTGTTGATCGGGTACCGGAGCAAACATTTTGTGCTGCAGAGATGGCTTTGTTGTATGGTTATTGACAGAGAGCACAATATTAAAAATTGGCCACGGGGTTTGCCTACAAGATGACTCTTGCGAGGAGGAATTTAGCTCTTTTCCAACATCATGATGGGGTAGCTAGCACTACTTGGGGTCATGTTGTTAGGAGACTCCAGGATTTGGATGCATACTTCTTTGCAGGTCTTGCAATTTTTTTCCAAATCAATTGAAGTACTCATTGGTATTCACCATGAAAAGTTTGATCATATTCCATTCCAGTATGAGTCAGAACAGGTGAGATATAAATATGACGCTCAACCAGTGCTTAAGGCAATCAATGCTCGCAAAGGAAGTTCACAATATGTTGTACTTTTTAATCCCTTGGAGGAAACTAGAGAAGAGGCTGTGGTGGTTATTATTAAAAGGCATGATGTTACTGTTTTGGATTCAAACTGGACTATTGTCCCAAGCCAAGTGTCCCCTGAATTGCAGCATGATAGAAACAAGATTTGTGCTAATGGTTTTGTGGGATGTGAAAACATAGTTACTGCAATTATTAAATCACAATATGTTACTGCAATTTTTTTCCAAATCAATTGAAGTACAATGGGAAGCATCGTCTCCATTGAAAAGCTTCTGTCCATGCCATGGGGTTGCAAACATATTATGTTGCTAATGGTTTTGTGGGATGTGAAAAGGCGAAACCAACAAAACTAAAATACTTCTCGATGTCCAGTTCATTTTCTTGCCCTGCTCCATAATAGAAGGTGGTGTGGCTGAAATTCAGAATCAACATCAAACTCTCATCTTTGATGTCAAGCACGGTTTGTTGCAGAAAGTAACTAATACAGATGGTTCCATGGATGCTGTAGGTGAAGAAATAGAATTGTGCTCTAATTATGGAAGTCGGGCCTACCTATTCAAACCCAATGGTGATGCTCAGCCTATCATTGTGGCTGGTGGGCACATGGTGTTATCTGAGGGTCTAATGGTGCAGGAAGTGTACTCGTATCCTAAAACGACTTGGGAGAAAACCTCCCATCTCCCATAGCACTCGAATTTACAATGGAGATAGTACGAGGAATTACTACATTATGCCTTCTCTAGCATTCATGCTAGGATCCAATGGTAAGAGGTTTTCTATCCATTCTAGACAGTCCCTGTGTGCAGCCAGTCTTACAGATGGATGGTTGGAGATTATGCTTGCCCGCCGTTTGCTAAAAGACGATGGACGTGGTCTTGGGCAAAGACGGATGGATAATCGTCCAATGCATGTACTCTTTCACTTTCTTTTTGAGTCTAGCATTTCTACCACTTCAGATCCTGTTTCTAATCCTCCTTCCCTCAGCCCTTCTCTTCTCTTTCACTGTGTTGGTGCTCACTTGAATTATCCATTGCATGCATTTGTCGCGAAGAATCCCCAGGAGTTATCTGTGCCATCACCTTCAAGATCCTTCTCACCTTTAGCTGCTCCCTTGCCTCATGATTTGCATATCGTGAATTTTAAAGTTTCCCGGCATCAAAATATTCCCAGCAGCTGTTGAAGATTCTAGGTTCGTCCTGATCTTACAGAGAAGACATTGGGATACTTTATACTGTTGAAAGGGTAGACCTCAATGCACCAGTGTTGCTAATGAACCTCTAAATCTTTTCAACATGTTCAAGGGGCTTGAGGTGTTGAAAGCAAAGGCAACTTCTTTGAATCTTTTGAGTGAAGACATAGAGATCCTTGGATATATGGATCAGTGCTTGGAGCTGACACTTTTGTTCTACATCAAATTTCATATTTTGTCCTCGAGGACAAGGACATTTTCAAGGGGAGAGAATATTGTCACAAGCATTTCTGGAATTAGAATTGTTGTTACAGGTCCTTAATTCTCTGGAGGGGATGGCTGGAGAAGAAGCAATTTGAGCAGGAAGAGGTTGACAAAAGGGGGACTACACATTGGATTGAAAACGCACGTTTCATTTAGTTGAATTCTAGAAGAATTAAAACACAGCCATATGTAGCTGGTTGTTTTTTTTTTTTTTTTTGTTTTAGTTTGGGTTCAATAATTTTTTAATTTCTTTTTTAAGAAGTTTAAAATGTAATTATCAGTCTCCTTTTTATTTAAATTTAATATTATTTTTATTACATTTTTTTATCATAAATGGAGAAGTTTCAGCTATTTGTTAGGTTAATTTGTTGATCATTTGTCAAAAAACTTAGGTGCAAATTAAAAACTTAATATATATATATATATATATATATATGCAATTAAATTAACTAAGAACTATATGTACTAATAAATAAATAAATCATTATTAACAATACCTAAAAATTAAACTTGAAAATTTTAAAAATATGTGTAAATCAAGATATGTAATCTTATGAAAATGAAGCATTTACTTAGTAAGGTTTGTTAAATTTTATTTATTACAAAATTTATTTTATTCAAGTCTTTTTTTAATAAAAAAAACTAAAAATTAACAAAAATAAACTTGAACTTGAAAAATATTAAGGTAGTGAAATTATATAATTTATATTATTTTTTAAATTTAAGGACTAGAATGTATTTTTTAAAAAGTTAGAACATGTCATTCATATTTGATGTTTTTTTATTGAAGTCTTTTTTTTTTACTATTTTATAAAAAATCAAATTCAATTGATCTTTAATTAAAACTAAAACTGCATCATTGGAAAAAAAAATACTTGAAGAATAAATTGAAAAAATAAAAAGTTTTACATAATATGGATCATGAGATCATGCAGAGTGAAAGACACATGTATTTTAGTTTCATATATAATAACCGACACTAACTCAATCAAACTGAGAAA